ATATTTAGCGTCACTTGTTTAACGTTATAACATTTACGCACTGCTGCTACTTCTTGCTATTAAGCTACTAACCGGATTTCGCTTGAATTCAGCACTGGTAACACTAGCAGTACGGAGCAGCCTTTTTAACGACGAAACGTTCATGGTGTGACTAACAAGCCAATTCATATACGATCATTTTTTAATAATAATTTTATAATTAATAGTTACGTCTGCAATAAAAGAAATCAATATACATAGTTGCAGTATTTTTTAAAAATGGTCTCAATTCTGTGCCTGTTCCTTGAATATACTGGCACCTCAATGGTTCTATACACAATGAAACAGACGGACGGAATCTTGATTAGAAGCGCCTACATCTCAACTAAACTACATTGGTCAATTTCAGAGCAAACAGTGTTCATAGATGGCCACTGTTGTAAGGCTGAAATGTAGGCGGTACTAATTAAAACTACTATCCGTCTCTTTCCTTGTGCCTTTAACCATTTAAGTGCCACTTCATTAATAATTGCACCATTTAAAGACTGAAACATTTTTACGGTTTAAACTTTGCGCAAGCTGTCTGTCACGACTGCATCAGAGGACAATGGTGTCTACGACAGAAAAGCAATAGAAACTAACAAAAACGTTTAAGCTTGGACCGGAATTCCAACCTGCACTGCTAAAGCGTAGAGCATGAGAGCCACCCTCTGAATCACTGTTCCAAAAATAAACATATACAAATTTTCAGAAAATTATTTACGAATACATACATTTAAAGTTTGACAACGATGTACATTAAATCCCCAGCGTTATTCGCAATCGCATGACCAGGATGGCGTATGCGTCAAAGGCATGATCAAATGCGGTAGTGGCGATGTTACGAATCATCTATGTTTACGGTTCGCAAAATAAATCACTAACTAAAAGCTCAGTAATAAATGAACGGACGGAGGAGAATGAGGGCCGGTTTGTGGAGGGCGTTCGTCGAAACAGAATCTGTGTCCGTCAGACAACTGTTTCCGGACAAGCGACAGCAGCTTTCCTTCATTCCTTGTCCCAGGCGACTACGAACACGGACTAATACGGGGCAAGTCGGTCAAGAAGACGTGCAGATAACATGTGACTTGCGGAATGTTAATTACTAATAAGCATTTCGGTCAATGAACGCGAATGAAGAATGATGACAGACAGAATCCGAATGAAATAACAACAGAACTGAAGACAAGCGGCAACATGTAGCAGGAAAAGAATGCATCGATGAACTGGGTGACGACCCTCAGGTGATGTAAGTGATATTTTCTGACATTTTCGGTATTTGTCACCTCCAAGGCTACTCAACTCATGACATAATAATGAATCTAATTGTACACGCTAGTGATTGAATCAATATCGTAAATACGAATGATAAACAATATACCTTGGGGACAATGATGTATCAAACATTTCGACATGTGTTTTTAACACACTGATCTACGGCCGCCGCTTCTTTTGCGAAAAAGGTCCACCTTCCAAGTAGGATAAATAACGCGTACAATCGCCGTTGCTCACAAACGGCTGTAGGAGCAAGGAGGGGTCTGGCATAAGCACTGAATAACTCTATAGTACGGGGTGGGGAAGGGAGTGCACCGCTGGCTCGGTATGCATAAATCTTAAACATGTGGAACGCTAGATGCTGCCAGTGAATGGGATTATTAACGTCCCTGTGAATCGCATTGTTGAATGATTTATCCTGTCCTTGTTTGATTCTTTTTCGGCAGCAAGAATATCAACTTCATAAAACAGCACTTATTCTTTTGATACCTCTTTATCTGTATTAGATATATAGCAGAAACTTATAAATAGCGACCTCCAGCAATCCATGGCAATAATTATAGGACTAATCCAGCCGACCATACTAGCAAAGACCTCAAGGCACTGAGATGGAAAGGTTGAATATCAGTAAATGGTAACTTCATTACTTTTCTGACAGTAGGAACTGATATGAAATGACAAACTATGTTTTCTGATCTAGGTTTTATCCGATTTGCATACTTAAAAATATTTCATGATAAGTGATAACTTATCATCACCCATGAAAACTTCACGAAAACTTATTAGTAGTTGGAAGCTAGTACTGACTGATTCACAAACAAAAAAATTCTGAAATTCCGAACACCCTATGACATACAGGTGAAAAATCTTAATACTGGTCTTTCGTAAA